AAGACAGACATAATTTCTGAAAATGAAAATGGAATTAGAATTAGATGAGTCTCTATGAGGACCATCCGGCCTTGGCTTACTGCATATTAATAATACTGTAATCAGAAGGGCACCATAGCTCAGTATTAGGGTATTGCATACAGCAGGTCCTAGATTTAATTCTGGCATTTCTCTCGCTCTCTCTTTCAAACATCATAGAACTGGTGATAGAGAAAGACTTATACCTTGGGAGCTTCTCTGAAATCATTCATAGAGGTCCTGCTCTAGGTACCTCCACCTTCAAGACAGGTTGCCTAAATAAGGGTCTTTTCAATTGCCATGATCAACTTGATTTTGATTTGACATACATGCTGCACATTGGATTTAGAAAAATCTGGTGTAATTTTTAGCCTTGTAATTATTTTCTTCTTTGATTACTACAGTGACTTTGAATTTCAGTATAAGCTCCACTGCAGATCTAATTAAGTGGAATATAAATCTTTTACAACTGGATTTACCACAAAATGTTCATCTCAAATTCCTGATTTTTGTTCACCGTTGAAAATTGACAGCTAAACATACAATATGAACTAACCCCACTGAAAATCATTGTGTTTGAGAAAGTGCGAGGCCGCTGGAAATGTCTAATTATAACTGTACATCCATACATGCAAGCAAACATTAGATGTTATAGTTATCACAGGATAATCCTTCATAAATGCGCTTTTTCCTAGAGTTTGCTGAATCAGCTCTTGTTTGCACTGACATTCTCAAAATAGAGCAAAAAATGCCACGTGGGATAGATAAGTCTTCCTTTTTTTCCTACTGCTCAAGTATATCACTGCAAAAAGGGAGAGCTTTTCTACTATCTTTTCTTCAAGTTCTTCCATTGTTGTACACTTTTCAATGCTTGTGAGTTGGCAAGTTCTGCAGTGTGCAGCAGTCTGCCCCTTGTTGTTTAGTCATTAAGTCGTGTCCGACTCTTCATGACCCCATGAACCATATTGCGCCAGGCCATATCTGCCCCTAGCAAAAGACAAAGTAGGAAATCTTGTGTAATCTGTAAACTCCAGTTGTCCTCATCCCTGCTGTATCACTTTATGGGATTTTCTTTGAGGTGGGTTGAGATGATAACCTACCCTCCAGGGGAGGGAGGGCTTGGTCAATATTTCTCAACCTTGCCATTTCTTTGGCTCTGCAAAAGAGACTTCCAGGGGATATAATGATATTGTCCCCTTTTACTCACTGGAAGTCCTTTCTCTTCTCTTTGCTTTACTTTATTCAATTTGATATGGCTGCCTACTCCAGAAGACTCTGGGCACCTTACAAAATACACACACACACACACACACACACACACACACAGTAAAATAGTTGAAACAGTTCATTCTAAGGGTTGCTTTTTTAAAAAGAAAAAAAATGCTATTCTTTGATACCATTTCACCATTTTCCAGGGTGGTCCATCCACAGAGATGAACTGGCTGGTCACCTTAGGTGTCAAACACTGAGGGAAATAATCAAATTTTAAAAAATAATATTTGTTGATACCAATTGCATGGCTCACCTAGGATACCAGTTGTTGTTAGTTAGCCTACAGCCACCACTAATGTTGATTCTCATTCTACTGACCTGGGTGTGAATATGATTTAGAATCTTCCAAATGAGCTTCCTTCCCCTGCTCCAACAAGGAGCTGTTCTTTCACAGGAATGTCCCTGTGAGTTTCTTAGTTTTGTCTGCCATAATTCATGGTGCTAGGTATCACCTACAAAGCCATACATGGTTTGGGATCATGGTATCTGTGAGACCACCTGACCACCCAGTCGGGGTGAAGACAAAATGCCTGCTGAGGGTATTCAAAGGAGGGAAGAGCAGTTCTGTGTATTTAGCTGTAAATAAACATGGAGTCTTTGGGAGTCTTTGACATTCACAATTTTAATAACATAGGCTTAGATATTAAAGTATGTCCTGTATAGTCCATATTAATCTTGGGTTTCAAAATACTTTGAACATTTTATTCTGATCTGTTATACTGATTGCTCTGTATGTTTTAAAATAAGGAACATAGGGTTTTATATAGTCAAAGATTGTCTTGAGAACTTAATATATCTGTCTAAATCTGTCCTGGGAGGCACAGTTCATTTAGTATGCTAAAATGTTTATAAAATGGAGCTATAAACTATAAAATACAACACCTGTTCCTCTTTCCAGGGATTCTGTAATGGATAATAAAATCACATACATACTTGTATACAACATGCTGTTTGTAAAAAACATTTTAGGGATCTTTAACGCAAGACACACGCTGTGAATGAGGTATATTTCACCCTGTAGCTACTGTGCTGGTGGTGGGTCATTACGTATCCTTCTAGGAACCAAGGTAGCATGGTGAAAATAGGATTAAGAAACTAAGAGGCGCTAATGCAGTTTGCATGTTTACCAAGAATTAAAACACACTTTCTTCAAATAAGATTTATCAGCAGGTCCAAGGGATACATGTCTGCAGAGGGTTTAAGCAATAGACCATTACATATAAACCACTAAATCCTTTCTTTTAATTTCATTTCTGCAATGACATCATCATTTGCAGCCACTCCTTATATTAGCCAAGCTGGAGTAGTTGTGCTGGATATAGAAACGCTTGGAGGAGAGGGGAGAGAGGTGTAAGAAGACAACCCTGAGCAGGAAGGAAAATTCCCTTGCTGAGTAAAACGAGCTTTCCACTTAATTGTTTGCATGGATTCTAGTCTTACATATGGAAGAACATTCATGGATCATATTTTCTTAACAGTTGGAAGTCTTTAAAAAGGGAGAGCAAGGAGTGCCAGCTTAACAAAAGAAATGGCTATATATAAAATCTATATTTCTGGACATGCATAGAGATGAATGAAAGTCAAGTACTGGATACTAGGGTAGGAAATATAAAAATATCCACACAACACAATATCAGGGCATTTGGGTCAATGCTGGTATGGGATAATAATTTGCAGGGAATGTATATCCTCTCCTGTTAACATAGGAACAGAGAAGTTGTCACTATGGGACAGCTGTCCAGTCTGGAAAATACAAACCAAGATTCAGAATATTATTGCTAAAAAATGTCTGCAAGATAGACAATGCAGGAACCTGGGTGCAATTGGAGGGTGGGCCAGAATAGGATCTGATGCATACACACAGCCAGTAGTTAAACAAATGAGAGATTTTATTCTGGACACTATGGTACCTATACTGATGAAGTCATGTAGTATGATCTAATAATATATACAAGTGAAAGTACTAGTTACAGTATGTGTTCTATGTATGTACAGAATAGTACAAGAGATATAATCTAAAAAATCAAGTCTTACTCTACTTAATTTTCCTTCCTTTCAAGTCTCTTCCCCTCACTTTCCGCTTGTACTGGAATATCTGTGAGTTTTCTCCTGGCTGTCTTGTTGCCATACAAAACCTGTAACTCACAAAATTCCACTACCCAGCATCTGAATCTCCAGACACACAACACAGTCCATCCTCCTGGTCTTTCCGCACTCTCACAAGCCACTCCAGACTTTCCCTCCTGGACTTCCTCCTTGTTCCACGGCTGGAAACTCTGGATTTGAGGCTGGGTTGTTTGAGACTCCACTCCATTCCACATGCACCAGGTGATGTCCTCTCTAGCAGCATGTCCTGCAGCATCTGAATATAAACCCCTTCTCTGCTTTCACTTTCTCTTTTTATATTCTATATCTAAGGCATGGACGTGCCACTTTACAGGTGCATTCTAGCATTTCCCACTTTTCTACCTACATCATCTTGTCCTGAGTCATCTGCCTTCCCTCAAAAAAATCCATGATTTTGGCACACACCCAACTGCTTTCCTCCAGCCACACATTTTACCCTGCCACAAGGTCTTTTGCCACTATAATCCAGGCAGACACTGAAGCTTTCCAAAGTAGATCTCATTCTTGGCATGTCAGTGGCACCCCTAATCATCCTGGAAGCATTGTCAACTTGGTGGAGTGAGACCTGATGTTGCCTGCAAAATACTCTATTCTATATTTGGGGTTGATCTCCATTCATGTTCTTGAGCTCCTGGAATTAAACAAAGCAGATGTGTGTGACATCGAGGAAGAGCAAATGCAGAACACTGGAGATCTATAGCACTAAATACTTGTGATTTGCTGTGGGCTTCTTCTTCTGAGGGTCATTATCCAGTTCAGGTTCTGTGACATGGCAGATCTCAGGAAGGGAGCTGAGTAGGCATACAATGGGAAGGAGTATAATAAGCTGCCTGTGCTGTGTAGTACAAAGCATACAAGATAAAATGCCAAGGAGAGACATTGAAGGAACAACTCAGAAGTACAAAAATGCAAAATTGAAGTGTGTGTGTGTGTGTATAATGTTTATAATAATATATATAATATATAGAGTATACGTAATGTTTGTGATTCCCTTGAGAAAGAAACAATCATTTAAAAAATAACTATAATGAGCAAGAATGAATGACAGTATGAATGGCTTCTTTAAAATTGTAAGAAATGGAAGACAGAGAAGAAAGGGCAGTGTTTGATTTGACATGGGAAATACATGAACAGAAGACAATCCATATCTTTTAGTTGTTTACTTGCTAAATACAGCTGCTTTTGATACAGCCTGAAGGGTTGCAGGAAAGAAAGAGATGGATATGTAATGTGGTGTGTGTTTTGCGCATCAGGGTGCTTCATTGGATCATAAGACAATTATTTTGCTTTGTTTTTAAAGTGTGGTGTGCTTTGAAAATCATGTGGTATGATAGTAATGCTTTTCTTCCTT